GTCCGTTCCGACGTCCCGGGACGTCTCGAACGTTTATGCGAGCGGTTGCGAAAAGATGGTTGAGACTCGCGTTTTTGTTTAAAACATGTTCATTGCTTCCGAGGCGCTCAACACCGAACTATCCTCTAATAGAAGCAAGGTTTTCGAAAAGGGTTCTTCTGGAGTCGCCACCAATGTTTTGACCATAAACATTGGAAAAGGAGAAAAAGGCATTGATTTTAATAAAAACCAAACTTGGCCATTATAACCAGAGTCGGGTAAGGGAGTTAGTTACGTGTGGGGAAGGTGTTAGCACCCCACAACGCCCCTTTCGGGTTCCCTATGACGGATTAATTCATTTAAGTAATGATTACAAGAAATTACGCTATTACCCTATTTTATTCGTACAGTTATTTAAAGATGGCTATCTACATGATTTATCTACATTGCATACAGAAAGCAATAAGTAAAGCATTAAAGGAGAAGAGAATTGAGAAAAACCTCCGTAGAAAGCTTTATATTATAAGTCTTTTATAAAGAGGACGCGTTTCGGCAGTCCTTCGCTCTACAACAACTCTCCTCTCAAAAACAGACTCGACTCGACTAAGATTTCTAGAAGAATCGAATGCCGGAATACAAATTCCTTAACTGATTGTTACCTATTAAAGGCAATCAGAAAGATCATTCGAGAGAGGGAGATAAGAAGACAAGTCTTAGAGTTGTCTGGTGTGTGGAGAATGACAAATGAGGCTCCTATTTATAGTAAATTTTGCCCTGGAACTTTGGGACGACCGTCTGGGTTGGGACGACCGTCCCAAACGTGTTTTCTGCGTTGTGCCAATCTGGGACGGCCAGTCTGGGTTGGGACGGCCGTCCCAAATGCAATTTTGTTCACGTTGGGACCCCCTGGGGTTTGGGACGGCCGTCCCAACCCTGGGATGGTGGTCTCGACCTATTTTGTCCAGCCTTTGTATTTTGGGACCCCGGGAAGCTTTCCTTGCCGTTTTCGGACGTGGATTGGTGCCGATATATGTCCGTTGAAGCTTTATCTTCGTGTAGGAAGTCTTCTTTGGCCTTTATTTGAAATGTTGGGCGAGCTTTATCTATGTATAGGAAGTCTCCTTTGTGTGGATGAGTGAATTCCGTCTTATTATGAGAGGTCTTCTTTAGTCTTTATCGTGCATATGAGCGAACTCCATGTTGTTGCGGGAGGTTTCCTCAGTTTTTGGGAAGCCGGATGAACTCCATCTTCGGGCGAAGTTCCTCTAGCTTTTATTTTGAGAGGCCGGGCAAAATTAGGGGTCTACAGCTGCCCCCCCTTCACCTGCCTAACTAATTCGTTGGTTTTAGTATGCCGACAAAATTTATTGGTAGGGGAAAGAGTTAACCCTTTTGCCCGGCTATCCTTCGGATGCTGCTCCTTGCTGATCCTCCAGATGATAAATATTTTGATAGGTACTAACCCCTATCTGGTTTGAGCCTTCTTTTTCTAAGGCTCTGGTGAGTACTTATCCTCACCAGGTATAAGTCTGTATTTTTACTAGACTTTTGTGGGTACCTATTCCCACTAGGTATGAACCTTGTTTTACAAGGTTTTGGTGAGTACTTACCCTCACCTGGTATGAGTTCGCATTTTGCAGAACTCTTGTGGGTACTTACTTCCGAGGTGTTCAACACCGAACTATCCTCTAATAGAAGCAAGTCTTTGCACCCGTTTTTAGTAATGCTTTAGGTGAGTATTTTTACTCTACCCTATGTATCTTGCTAAGTATCGATGAGTACCTACCCTCATCCGGTACAAACCTTATTTTATAAGTGTTTTGGTGAATACTTACCCTCACCTGGTATGAATCTGGATATTGCCAGACTCTAGTGGTTTTTATACCCCCACTGGGTGTGAACCCGCATCTTGACATGGTTCTAGTGGTTTTTACACCCCCACTGGGTGCGAACCTATATCTTGGTACGGTTCTAGTCACTGTTCTTGATCATGCGCCTCTGGGGAGTAATTGATTTTTCTTGTTTTAGTCATCCGGCTTTGCCGAGGATTTTCGTTTTTTGGCTTTCTTTTTAGCCATCCGGTCTTGGCCGGGGATTCTTGATTTTGGCTTTTTCTTTTAGCCATCCAGTCTTGACCGGGGATTCTTTGATTTTGGCTTTTTCTTTTAGCCGTCCGGTCTTGGCCGGGGATTCTTTGATTTTGACTTTTTCTTTTAGTCGTCCGGTCTTGGCCGGGGATTCTTTGATTTTGGCTTTTTCTTTTAGTCGTCCGGTCTTGGCCGGGGATTCTTTGATTTTGGCTTTTTCTTTTAGCCATCCGGTCTTGACCGGGGATTCTTTGATTTTGGCTTTTTCTTTTAGCCATCCGGTCTTGACCGGGGATTTCTTTGATTTTGGCTTTTTCTTTTAGCCATCCGGTCTTGGTCGGGGATTCTTTGATTGCCTCTTTTTAGGCGGGAATTCTCTAGGGATTTTGAATTCTCTTATTGATTGTGCCTCTTGATTAGGCGAAGATTCACTTGGGGATTTTGTTGTGCCTCTTGATTGGGCGAATGCTTCAAGTAGTGAAGACTTTGAGGGCTTGGATTGCCTCTTACATAGGTTGATTTCCCATTAATTTTTGCTTGCTTGTTGAAAGTGAAGGCTTTGCGTTTCACTGGGGATATCTGTATTCGGGAATTTATATGCGATCCCCTGAACTTGTAGTTTTGCCTTCATTCGGTAGGCTTGCCGGGGATTTTTTTGTTTGATGATCCATTGGGGAATATTTTGAATTGCCCCCTAGGGAGAAATGGAGTTTTGACTCCTTATTGACTGCTGTTGATTGAGCTGGCTTTGCCTAAAATTCTTATTTTGCTGGGGAAATGGTTTCTACCCTTTTCTTGCAATTCTTCTTTTTGCGATTTTAGTTTTTTGCGTATGTGCTCTTTTTATGCACATTGGGTCCTTTTTTTTTTGAATGAAGAGATATATTTTTTTTTTGTGATCCCTGGGGAATTTTTCCTTCACTTCTTGGGGATCCAACTTTGATGATGGGGTCTGAGCTCCTGAATTTTTGAGAAGCTTTTTTATTGAGTGAAGATATTTTCTTCTTTTCCTCTTTGTGGAATTTTTCTTGATATGCTCTATTTGGATATGTTTATTTGGCCTTTTTCTATAGTGGTCTTTGTTGGAGATGAAACGTTTTTTTCTTTTCTTTTCTTTTTTTTTTATTTGTTGCCCCCAGGTGATGTATAGGATTTGACTCCATATTTTCTTTTGATGAACTCTTATGTAGTCCCTATTCTCCTTATTCTCCTTATTCTGCTTTGGGGAAGTGACGGAGACTCTTGCACGAGTGTGCTTGATGACTCATGTGGCGA